CTTCCATTCAAGGGAACATCATGAGATTGAGATTAGCAAGATTGCCAGAGAAAATGGAAATTACGTGCATAATAAAGTAAAAGAGAATACAGGTAAGTAGCCTGGTAAACTTCTTCACCTTGTCTTATACGCTTCATGAAGGGAAAATGTGAGAAGGCGGGTATTTATTCTCTGGTAGCTTCTGTGCCCAGTGGAAGTATCTGTACAGTTCTGCTCCAGGGCAAGGAAAGTAACTTCTGACTGGGAGTCTCGGGAGGAAAAACAGTTCTGGGGAGGATACAATGCAAAAATTATACTTCTCCATTGGTCCTATAAATTGGTCTCCAATCCGACATAATTTTTAAGAGGTTAAAAAATATTGTTAAAAAACCACCATTTTCTTTTGGGATGTTTTCATTTTCTTCCTTCCCATTTTATTGTTTTCCCTTTTTAAAATGGTATTTATTAGCATGACAAATTGGGAATGGCTTTTCTTCTTCTCTGTCGTATTCCAACCCAGATGCAATTTTCTTCCTCGAGAAAACTCCAAATGTACTTTCAACAATAGAGCTCGTTTTCAAATTGGTTTTATAGTAGAATCCTCCATGCTACACTATGAATTAAAAACGTGTGAATTCAACAAGTACCTACCAGAGTAAAATAAATTTAAGCATATTATATCTGGATTTTTCCCTTCTGAGTTTTAGTTATGGATATATGTGTGTTTATAAATCTGAATATAAGCATCTTTCTTCATGGATAGGTTCTTATAAATACTTGTACTAGTAACTTATATGCTATATAACCAAATTTCAGGTAAAGAGTCTTTAATAAGATGACCCTCAATTATACAGATTGCTTAATTCACTTATAGAAGTTAAATTGTCCCAAATTAGCTTATGATTGCATATGTGATATACTTTCATAAACTATAAAGCATATCTACTTTGTACATATATGTTCACATAGTAAAACACTTGTCTAGATGGATATTTATTAGTAGAATGTCCCCTCTAGGATACTGATCTTATAAACTGTATTTCTCATGGCCTTCATACATCTTAATTTGGGTTTTGTCTTTTGGAAGGAGAAAGAAGAAAAACATCTTAATATTATTTATGTATTTGAGAGTAAAGTTATTTTAAAATGAAGCGGGGGAGGGAGAACAAAAATCATATCACACCTATTTAAATAAAAAATAGGAGATTAAAGACTTAGCCAAATTGTTTGCTGGCAACAAAGATCAAATAGGCATTCCCCCACATACACATATATATATGCTCACCCTCCAAAATGAAAAAAAATTATAATGTATTACTTTCTCTTTAATTTATTCAAGAATGAATTTTTTTCACTCAAATTCTCATATGAATATGAATTGAGTACTTTATGTGTGATAGGTGCCCTCCAAGGTAGTGCCAATAGGTACTGAAATGGATCAAGATGTAGCCCTCAAGACGCTTATATTCTGGTTTGAGGAAGAAGGAAATAAACCTAAATTAGTAAATAGCAAAATGAATAATTGATAATTTGAAATAGGAAAAGGTCCAAAGGTGTAGGGGTGGTTGGGAGGGCAAGGGGAAAGGGAAGAAGGGAAAGGAAAAATTATGAGAAAAGAAAAAAAAATGGAAACAAAATCTCTGTAAATAGGAAAGGGTGGAGGGGTGAAGGGCACACAGGGAATGGGGAAAAAATAAGAACCAAGATACATCATGTACAGGTACAAGCACTCAATGACAAATGTAAACATATTGTATACCTAAAATGCACCAATACAAGAATTTTTTAAAAATTAGTAAATAGCACGGCAAACAATGATAAGCACTATGAATGCAACTAAGCCCAGTGATCAGTACAAAGCGTGCTAAGATGTATCACTTTCTGATAATAGCCCAGATAACATAATTTTGAAGGAAGTGAATCCCTGAGCGGTGCAGTCAGAAGCTTTAGCAGGACTCTGTCTTGCAGTGACTGAGAAAAGGCAGTGATTACAGATTACTTTGGAAGAACAGCAACTGAACAGATTGTTAAGAACCTTGCAGGGTTATTGTAGAGGTCTGCAATTATATTCTTCCTTAAATGGGATGCTAGGGAAACATTTTTAGTAGAGGAATGTGAAGTCTGATTGCATCTGATACAGATTTGAGCTGATGCATTGAACGGAGTTGCTGTCAAGGACCCGGACAGGAACAGTGTATTTGAATAATGACAGGGCATTTTCCCATGTAGTTGGAAACAGAGCTGTTGGTAGTAGAAGTGGATAGTGAGGTTGTCTTCTGATTTAATTCTGCTTAGACCCAAGCAAGTTTGTGAGAAAGCACAGAATCAAAAATGAATGCAAAATTTCGGTGTAAGCAATTGAAGAAGTGGAGAGCCCTTAAATGAGACAGAAGACTGTCAGAGGAGAGATCTAGGGGGGAGAGTGGGAGCTTTGCTTTGGATATGTTCATTGCAGGGCTTAGAAGCCCAAGGACAGCTATTAAGCACACAATGATTATGAGTCACTAATGCATACAAAAGGTATTTAAAAGCATACTGCTAGATATAGACACTAAGAAGGAGCCTGAGAAGAGAAGTAAGAATTTGCTATGCTTCAGACTCTCTCCAAGCCAGCACCACAAGTACTATCGAGGCAGACGAAGAAGACCTTTGCGAAAGTTTCCTCCAACAATGTTATGTGAGAGATCTGCCTTGAGTTCCTCTATGTGTTATTGGGTAGGACAGTGAGGATTGGATGTGAGAGAATTCAAATAGGAAGGGAGATGTTTGAATTCTCTCATGCCTTTCACCTACCCTTGCCTTGTGTGCTGCTCCTACACTGAGGGCAATTACTTCATTCTCTCCACTCCTTTACCTTGTTCTTGCTAAGTGACCCAGAACTGTCACTTAGATCTCTAGTACTGATAAGAATTTGTGAAAAACAGGTAAGGACAACTAGTCATGGGGAGGTTCCTGAGTTCTAAATCTAAAAGGTTATTAGTGTTTGGTTTAAACTCATAAATTTATTTTGAAGCACATTGCTTTTGTTACCAGCTAGAATAAATTATTTTTGTATTAACAACTGAAACTTTTATACACTACTTTACTTGATAGTAGGGTTTTTTTCCTAAAAAAGTCATGAAGTATTTTCTATATTATTTTACTGGGATTGTATAAGCAATGTTTATGCTTAGACAGGCTTTTCCTATTCAGAAATTAAATGAATCTTCATGTGTACTTCCAAAATGTATTTTTGCTTCCATTTATGCCTTTATATTTTCAATCTATTACATATATATTTATTTATTCAGCATGTGATCTCATCAGTCTTTTCAATTCATTTTCACATCTTTAGTTTTTCCCAATTATCCCTTGAACTTTATTTTCTCTGTTTTTATTTTGGTTCTGGTAGTAGGGATAGAACTCAGGGCCTGCCTTTTAAGCTACATGATGAGACCTTATTTTAGATTTTATTTTTTAGAAAAGGTCCCACTAAGTCTCTAAGTTGCTCAGGCTGGGCCTCAATTTAAGATCCTGATTTAGCCTCCCTGGGCAGTGGGATTAGAGCCCTGCACCACCATGTTCAGCCTGTGTTTTTGCTCATGCTGTGTTATGTTTTATCTGAAAAGGAGTTCTTGTCCAACTGGCTTGGCAAATTGCTACTTATTTTGAAGATCCAGCTCAAATGTCACTATGAAACTTGGGTTTCCTTTTGATGCCACATTCTGTACTGCTTCTGTGAACCATGATCTCAAAATCACATAAATATTTGGTTACATGTTTTGCAATTCCTTAAAGGTGGAGAAACAAAGTTCTACACAGTGGAGACAAAGTACACACAGTGCCACCACACTCTGTATCTGTGCTAAATGAATGGTGTGAAAAAAACACCTGATTATCTAGATCAATCATCTTCTGACATTTGAATATCTACTGCAAAACTCAAACACAGTAATTCAAATTAGTTCCTACAAATAACACTCAATCCTTGTTGACTTGGCTTTTTCCATAGTTGTACGGTTTTGAACAAGTTTATCCATTTCAAACAAAATATGTCAAATAGTTGTTTACATTTTTGTCCTGACACAAACTTCGAGATTATTTGAGGTGAATTAATTCTCCTAAATGTATGCCCTTACATATGTAAAGGGAGCCGGTATGTACACTACTAAAGTCTAATTCTACTCTAGTCTTTCACTGCAACTTTAATTTCTAAAATAAAATCATTAATCACATTCCTCCAATTCAAAAGACACAAAGTATATTTAACAATTAAAGGAATTATAAATCTACCAATCTTACAAATGAATACGTTGTACTGCGAACACTTCTAGTGTCTGATGTGAACTAGTCACTGAGAGCCAGGAGTTTCCCAGAACATGTGCCTCCGAAAATAAGGTTAATGACAACTGTCTTCATGGTTTTCTTCATGTGAAAATTCAACCTAGGCGCATGACCAGCAAGAAACACTCTAATTCATTTGGAATGCAAAAAAATAAATAAATAAACGGCGGAGGAGCGCAAATTCTAATTATCAAGTTTGTACTGCGAATCTTGCTCATATTTTCTGGAAGCTTCAGGCTGCGGCCTTGCAGCTCACTTGATGGGGTTGCGGGGAGGCAGTGGCTGGCGAGTGACCGGAAGGGGTCATCCTCAGAACAAATGGTCTTTTAGTACCTTATTCATGGAGATGGCTTCGCAGAAGACTGGACTTATAGGAGCTGCCTCCCAGCTATTTCTCTGAGAAATGCTCCAGAGACTGAAAGTCTTGGGCTTCAGGCGCAACAGGGGCTCTCTCTCAACTCCTGGGTTTTTTTTTTTTTATTTCTGTCAATCACAAATAGTCCCACCCCTGAAGACACAGAATGCTACCTCTGATTGGTCAATCTACTGCCAAGCCCACCCATAGAAGAGCTCTATAGGCCAACAAACATGCCAATGCATTTGATTGGCTCTGACACTACCACCAGCTCCTCCTTCAACTGGCCCTTTGGGAGACTTTTCCACAGCCTCCGCCATATTTACAAACAGGAGGAGAAGAAGGTTCGCTGAGGATGGAGCCAGGCTTACAAGATGGGAAGGGGTGGGTTTGGGGTCCAAAAGTGGCACGTCCCGCTGAGCAGGCCTGGAGAGGTCACAGAAACTGTGGCTGAGCTCAATGCACAGAGCCTTGGACCAAGAAGACTTTACTCTTCTCCTGTGCCTCCTTCCATCTGGCATTTGAGCTCAGGTACGAGGGTTCTCTGCCAAGTTAGTCAGGCCATCAGGTTGCCCGAGATCAGGGGAAAGGGAACAACCGAGGCTGGGTCTTCAGGAGGAAGAGAACATTCCGGGTGGGTTCAGGGTCGCTGAACCCAAGGCTGTGGGTCCAGGTGGATAACTGCCCTGTAGACCCAGTCCTACTGTTTCTCTACTAGGATTTACCTCTTTATAACACATATACCATATATTTTTATATATTGCATATTTATATGTTATGTATTTCTATATATACATTTTCTAATATTTGTAATATATATCTACCCATTACTCGTGCTCTTTATTGTCTCACCTAAAATATAAGTCTTGTGAGACAGACATTCATCTGTTTGGTTCTCCGATGTAATTGCAAAACATAGAATAGTTTTGGCACACAGAATTTGGTTAATTTTGCACTGAACTAATTCTAACATTATGTTTGTCTTCAAGGTAGCCAAGAACCAAAGAGCTAATTCGCTGTAGATAGAGTCAACCACATAGATGGTACGTATATAAGTATATTCTTTGCCTGAATCTTGTCAGAAAATTTCTGAACAATCAGGATTTCTTTTAACTTTTAATTTTACTACAAAGAAAAACTTAAAATGTCAAACAACGAAGAAGTCTTACAATTTTATAGTTACGAATTTCCTTAATTGCAATCATTAGAAAAAAAATAAACGCAAGTATCTTGTGCTGACAATCAGGGTAATTATCCTATCAATCAGAAAAGAATTATTTATAGCTATTTCAAGAATTATGAAATTTTTGGAGAATTGATCTCTAACGAGTGCTTAAATACTGCCACTAGACTGGTACAGAATAGTGGAACAAATTATCGCTAAGTGTTGATTAATGACATTCATTTGACTCTCTGACTAATAAACATAGCTTGGTGTGTATATCACATGTATGTTGGTAGGCAAACCAAATGTCCCCTGAGTCAGCTGATCCAGTAAGTTGCATAATATTGTTTCAGAATGTCACCTTAACTTTCTATGAAACTAGGGATGTATCTTACAGATTTACTCGTTTTCTACTCATGTTTATCCAGTGTGCCAAAGAGGAAAAACACTCTTCCTTAGTAATAAGATACAGCAGCCAGTATCAGATAACGTTCTTGAAAGTAGTTTGATAGGATACATTTCTTACTGTAGAGAAGTAGCCTAAAGTGAACACAAACAGCGTTTCTATGAATATTTCTTTTTTACAGCCCATGATAATTTACGTTTTTATCAAAACTATATTAAATGTTAAAGAATATTTTATAACATGAAACATGTTCTGAAAAGATACTTTGGATTAAAAAAGAAACATGGTTCAATATTAACATATTCCTTAACATTTTGTAAAGCAGTTTAATATACATCATCTTATTTATTATTTATAATGACTTTACATGGCAGGTAGGCCAATAGATCTGTATTATTGTACTACAGTATTAAGACGAAAGCAATGATGTAAAAGCTATGATCAGTTTGGTAAAGAAGAACATTAGCAAAGTTCTCCCATGTTCCATGTGTGTTTTCATTTTTTATTTTGTGTTGGGAAGCTAAAATGGTGTGAAAAATAATTAGCCTAAGTTGACTTAATAGTCTTCAAACTATACAAGCATAAAGATTTTCTCAGCATTTTTTTGTATTACGTTCTTAAAGCCAGTGAGGCTAGATTAAATTTAATCATTTAAAAGTCTCTAATAGCAGTGATAAGCTCTCCAGCTTTTGTGTTTGCCTGAACTCTGAAAGTAACAGAGATACCTGAGAGTGAGTGTTCAGAGCTTCTAATATGCAATTCAGTTGTACTAATATAAAGAACGAGCCATCCACTGCTTGGTACAGAATTGGTTCTTACTGTACATAATGTTGACAGAGCAACTGACAAAAATGACTACTTTTTTTAAGACTGAGAAACATACAAACATAATACACACAAAGAACAACATCAGGCCAATAGATAAATAGAAAATCTGTGAAGTAAAAGGCCAACCTATATTCTTTGCTACATTTACATGTCATTTTTTATGCTGACATTTTCAATTGTATGGAGCTCTTTAAATATGTAATTCTTGATGCTAGCAAATTTTTTAAAGTAAGCTTAAGCAGTATAAAATTTTAAGGGAAATCGAATATTTCCTGTTTATAATCCATATGAAATGAACTTGAGATAATATTTTCAGGGATTATACAGGTGTATAGTATTTCCATACACATACAATAGAGGGTATATGATTCACAAAGGACCAAGCCATTTGACATTACAGAATGTAGCATATGGTATCCAGCATATCTCCTCTTACAAAAGATTCTCAGTGGATAAAATGACATTCACATGGGAGGACTTCTTTATTCACAAGAAGATACATTCACTTATCTCTAGAGGATATGAAAGCAATATTGCTTCATTTAAGAAATTACACTCAATTTTAATGCATATAAAAAGTTAAAATAGATAATCCATAAGATTACTAAAACAAACTGGGCAAGTTTATACACTAGCAAGTCATATATTTGAGTAATAATGCACCTATCTGGCTTCTATGACTGCATATATCATTGATGCGTGTATATGTGTGTATATCTACATATCATATGTGTGTATAATTAATGAAATGAAAAGGAATACCAAAGCAATGGAAAGAGGGCATCTATTGATTCTATAAACTTTTAAACCCATCCAGTTTAAGATGCATAAAAATATTGCTAAAAGCATTTGTATTCTACACTGCACATTCAATTACCTACAGAAATAAATTATGTATGGTTGGTGATCTGATTTAAAAGCTGAGTTCAGAGGCAATGTATCAGAAACAGAAAGACTGCCATATCTTAAATGAGAAAGTGGCATTAAAAAATTATCCAACTATTCCAGTGATGTAAAAATCACACATGTCAAAGCCAGGATGTTCATATCAAGCTTTACCAAACAGTGCTGAAAACTAAATATTTTAAATACATATATATATTTGTACATGTCTTTAAATTCATTTTAAGCTTGAAGAACCCAAGAGAGTATTTTTAGGTTCATGATGTGTGCCCAGAAGTGACTGCATTGTGAATATGGTTGTCTTAGGGGTGGGCATATTTAAATAAATATGCACAAAGTCACTTTCAGTTAAAAGCTTTAAGCATGTAAATCAATATAAACATACGAATCAAAATACCTTGCTTACAGACCCATGATTCTTCAAACTATATAACATTGGAATAGTATTATGTATTCTAGTTTTTTAGAAGTTTAAAATTCTGCAAAAGAATGAAGTTTCCAGATCCAGCAACAGTGCTGTAACATTTGGTGGGAGAAGGGAAGTGAGAAAGGGGGTGTTGTGCATTGGGATTATTTCCACATTATCATCTTCCAACTTCATTTCAACGATTAAGGAAAGGTTCAACATCAAATGTGAAAAATTCTCTAACAGTTTTCCCACACAGTACCACAAAATGTGGTGACTCTTTTAAACCTGATGCTTTCTAAGTAAATGGCATATTTCTGTCTCATACTGACAAATGTGCTGTTGGTTAGTTTGGCCTGGGAGGCTATTCTAAGAGCCATTTCATTCCACCTACTGCTTCCAGTGAGAACTGCACATGTCCTGAATAAACAAATTATTGTCTATTCTATTTCTAGCTACAAATGAGGTAATTTTTTCGACAAGTGCCAGTATCTCCAAATGCACTGCTTTAGTATTTGGTAAATGCACACTTTGATATTTGTCAAAATATATACATCTCAAGTCTCTCCATTGTATTAAAAAATCAAGCTCTTTTATAGAATGATTTTTGTGTGTGTTAAAGAAAATGATTAAGTGAATATTTTACTGAAAAGCTCTATGTGTAGATTTCACTGTCTCCTGGAATATTTTTCAGATATCACACACAAAAATTTTGCACATAAACTTCAAAAACAAATGTTTAATGACCACGCACAATGTGAATATACATTTGAGGATTTTTAAGGTACAAATGCATTAACTTAGTGGGAAAATGCCGTATCTTCAATGAAGACACTATTGACCACTTTGGTCACTTATTTGTGTCATAATTTCCCGAAGGTCAGGACTCCATTTGAAATTCATCCCATGAGCACACAACAGGTGCTCAGTAAAAGTAAATGCATGCTGAATTGCATTAAATGTCAACACCTCACCTTCAGGAGAAAAGCCATCACTTTTTCCCAATCAAAGAAAAGAGCAAATGTGCCAAGATGCTATTCAATAACAAACTATGGAAACTGGGTTTTTTCAGAACTTCACTCTCAACTTGCCTTCACTTTTTCCACTGTAAAAAATTTGTAATAACTTTGAAGATTATTTCTAGCAACTTGTCAAAGATTAATTTAGTTACCTCTTAAGAGAGGTTGGATATTGTGACTTTGAATAAATTTTCATGCACCTACTAAAATTTTAATGAGTGTTAATTTTATAATAGCTACACATTTAATGAATAACCAGGTAAACATTTAAAAGTATGTTGTCTGTAAGTTTTAAAGTACGAGCTCCAACTCCCCAGATGGGAATTAGATTTGTCTATGAATCTTCATTTCTTTAAAATTTTGCTGAGAAAAAAAAAGTGTGCAAATATTTTAGTTTTCATTGTTTTAGTTCTCATTGTTTTAGTTCTTTAGTTATTAAATTAGGGATAATTTTTGTTGGAATAAGTTAAATTCTCTGGATCACTTTTCAATCTGAAAACTTACATTTAATGGGAAAAGAGAAATTAGGTATCTGTAAGTAAAGAATATATTCAGTAGAATTTGAATTCAGCTTTTGAAAAGGGCTAAGCTTACAAATATGCTTCATTCATTATAAGAAAAAATTACATTTTATAACCAAGATAGTAGTATTCTAATGATCTATGTTGATTCATATTTGTTTTACTCTACAACTAAAAGAGGAGTTAAAACATTTGGTTTCTAGCATAAAATAAAGATGTATATGTATATGACAGACAGAAAGTGTTGGTGTGAAATCAGCATTCCCCTTATTTGTATAGTTTCAGGAATCATGGGATTCCATGACTTGCTGAATTATTTAACCCTATAAGCTCATGTTTCAAGTTAATTTTTAAACTTAATGACATTTCTGAAAATGTGTCAATAGACTAGGCTTTATTTTCTTTCAAGTCAACACCTAATACTGCTAACCAGGCTTGCCTCAATTTCAACCCAACCCACCAGCCCCCATAAAATAAGATATTAATTCAGAGCCTTGTTAGGAAAGGGCCAAAGAAGAAAGAGAGTGAGAGAAACACTGCATTGAAAGATGGGCATATTTTCCGTGCATTCTTCTATGACTGTCTTTTTGTTCTTTCTAGTTACAGAAAGCCTACCAACATCCATCTGCTGTATTTTTAAATTTCCTTCAGTTTAAGCTTTGTCTTTGTTAAAATTATATAGTTTCGGGCTGGGGATTTAGCTCAGTGACACCTTGCCTGCCTCGCAAGCTCAAGGTCCTGAGTTTGATCCCCGGTACCAAAAAAAAGCAAAAACTTACATAGTTTGATTAGTAT